TTTAACTTCCTAGACACATACTGTACTGTCCAAAAAACATAATGCAGTTACACTGTTTAAAATAAATGAATCTAGCAAACATGGTTTCCACCTTTTCAGACCATACAAATGAAACATTGTCTCACCCAAACAATGAACCATTTTTTTAAAAACTGGAATTACTTACCACAACAGTTCCAGTAAGTGAACACTGAACAGAACTGTTACAGTATCTGTACGGCAATTAACACAGGATGAGAACAGTTCAAGTTTGCAGACAACTTTTTGGTGTTTTTTTCTTGGCACAAAATGTTCAAAATAATTACTCCAAAAAAAAATTAAGTCTTTGTTTGGCAACATGGAACCAACAAATTTTTAAGACAGCAGTTTAGACCTGAGTGACTGGACTCTGATTGACAGCTTTGAGGCATCCAGCTCCAATAGAAATTTCTGAAATACCTCAAAGGTATACTTGAGATGTCTGGGATAATGGAGATTCAATGCATAGGTCAAACCGAGGAGGAGACAGCAAGCCCTGGAAACACCTTCAAGGCCTGTAAGAACTTTCACTCCCTCGATAACAATTCCAGTGTCCTTTGAACTACCACTTGTAGCTCCTGTCCTGGTCACAATTATTGCCATCTTAATCTGTTCAATTCCTATCTGTTCTTCATTGTCCTGCAACATTAAACAGCAGTGAGACTCAAAAGCTATGAAATATTGAACAAATATAAAAAATCTGAAACTCAACATTTTGTTTGATCACTGTTGTAAGATAAAGTCTTATTATTGCCCATTCAGGAAGTAACCAACAGTAATTTTGAGTTAAATTCACACGTGTGCTATACTGACTTTAAGATTGCTTACACTGAATTCTTTGATGAGGTCTCCTGCATGTTCCCCAAGGAATTCAATAATGCAGCGGATGACCACCTCTCTGGTCAAATCAACAGAACACTGCTCGTCCTAAAAGAAAGAAAGAGAAATAATTAATGAGATTTACTCCTCATAAAGGTTTCTTTGATTTAGTGGCGTAAAGTAGTGGTGAAATTAATTTTTCAACAGGTGAGCAATATGTGAGCCTGGTTTTATCAACTGTGCTTGAAACTACCAACAGAGGTTCCTGAGTAAAAACATAATGTCACTGTATTATCGTACAGCTGATTCACAGTTTAAATTGAAGTTGTTACTATAGTTGAAACAGATTCATTGTGATTTATTACTGTAAAAATTTTGAAGTTCAGTGTATCTTATAAAGTGCTACATAAATAAACATGACTTAACTTACTGAATGTTATCTTTGAAAGTCCATGAAATTAACAGAAGGCAGCACAACATGACACCATGAATTGCTCTTTCAAATATTTGTATTTGTCAGCTTTAGTGTTCGAGTACTTAAATGTAATCATGTTCCCAATTTAATTAAGGGGAAGTGCTAAATGCTGACTATGAACAAAATACCAGAATAAGTGATTCCTCTCACATTACAAAAAATAACTTGTAACCAGTTGGCTTGCATGCTTCACTATAAACTGTACCTTCAGTAATTCCATTTCAGTTTTCATTCTTTCTCCAAGTGCTCCGCCTTTGGCACGAAACAGTGTCAGCAGTTTGGGAGTGTGAAGATCCAACGAGGACATAAATTTAGGTTCCAGTTGCACTGTGGTTATTCTTTGAAATTCTGCAGTCACCTGAAATATGGAATGACAGACAAATTAGTTGAAGAAAATGTTTCCAGAAGGGACATAATGTTCCTTTTGGTCTCAAAAAATATTTGGCAACTCACTTGAGAAGGTTGAAACAGGGCTGGCCATCGTTCCTTCATGTTTTGCACACTTGGACACTGAATAATAATTTCATGTCGTCTATGTGCAAATGTTTTGTTCATCTTTTCCTTAATCATCTTTTCATTGTCCTTTTTCCTAAATTCTGAGACCAGCTCTTCACGTTCTTTTTCCAAACTCTTCTTATCTTCACCCACTGGGTAAGCTGGGAGGTAATTGACTTCAGCTCTTCTTGGCTTTTTAACATTTTTCGCAGACTTTCTGTCATCTGGGTGTTTGTCTTTTAGTGCATTGCAGGTGACCTCAGGAATGCCAAAACCTCTAAGTTTTGTACGGTAGTTAGCCATTTTGTATTTAATGCTTGTCTGCCATGCATTAAGGCCTGAAAAGCTTCCTCGATTCTTCAGACATGGGTGTGCCTTTACAAGTGCTTCAGCTACGGAAAGAATCTGAAGGCTGGATGGATATGCAGTGTATGTGTAAATGGACTGAGACAGTTTTTCAAGTATGTCAGACTTGATATTTGGGGTAGTTAGCACTGTCCCATCTTTTCTGTAAA